TCATCATATGGAAAATGTTCTACATCTACTTTTTCATCAGCTATTCTCATTAGGTTGCTCAAATGCGTATTTGTTTCGTTTTGATCGTTTCTACCCACATTTGTTTCATTTTCATTTGTCCGTTTCGGAGTAGAAGATATTGGCTTTACAAGGTATTTGTCCATCTTACATTAACGAGCAAAAAATTTGAACGTCTTACATGAAGAAACCTTACCTACGGTAAACACGTGGTTGCAGAGAAATGCGTTCTGAAAGGGGTTCCGTGGTTGTGTTCGAAAAGTTTCTGAACAATACTGGTAAATAGGGAGGCTAGATAATGGGGCAGATGTTGAAAATAATGAAAGATCCAGGAAGAAAAGTGAAACGGATTTTATTCTAAATGGCGTAATTCGAAGCTTTTTCCAAAATGCGAGAAATTGGCGAATTTTGAAATTGATTTATAGAATGCGCGAATTTCTCGCGGTAATCATTTTTTACTGCGAGAAAAGAAAAAAATATGCGAGATTCTCGCGTTCTCGCGCTGTAGTGAAAACACTGCTATTGACTCACTTTTGAACAGCAGCAAAAAAGTAATAAGAAATGTTACAGAAATGTTTTCCAAACTTGTTTCATGCCAAAATTGACATACTGTAGAGCATTTGTAATTTGTAAATACAAGATTTGAAAGAACTTTAATAGGTCACAAATGTTGATAGTTTTGGCCATACATTAAAACAAAGTAATAGTAATTTAAATAAAATATCTAAAATTCTATTAAAAACACCTTGATTTATAAGAAATAGTCAATTTTGAAGAAACTTTTCCATACAATCTATTAAGATTATTCATTTTATTTAAAACAGTGCAGAAATCTTTAAAACAACCAGTACTTTAAAAAAACTCAAAACTAGAGAATTTTCAGACCTTCTAATTTAATTATGATTCTGGTATTGATATCAGTGACAAATCAATATACTAGTTAATGACACCTAAAAATTTGAAATTATGCAAATTAAAAAATGTTAACCATGGCATTCAATAAAGAATAATTAATATTATAAGGGAAGAATCCATAAAATGCTTATAAAAAATTGGAAATCAAAGAATTCATTGTTTAACTCCTAAATTAAGAGCTCCAATTACATCAAGGCTTAAGAGAAGTTATAAATGGAGTTATAAATGTCCTGCATCAGATTTACAAATTCCTTATAAGTCTGTCAAAAAATCACCAGAAATAACTTTATTGAAAAACTTCAGTTTCATACTTAATGTTTTATTTTTAAAACTGATACCGCTCCATAAAAAAAAAATTCAGTTTTTACAAGGCATGAAAATAAGTTTTTATGTCAGAAAAGTAATCCTAACTGAATGTAAATTTTTCACAATTTAATTCTTAGACACAGAAGACCAATAAAACTGGATATAAAATATAGACACAATGGGATAGGTTTTAAAACCTTATTTTCCCAGACTGCTCGTGCGAACAACAATGAATGTATAGAGGCTTGACTTAAATAAAAAAAAGTGATCTTTTAATCCTTATAATTTTTATTGAATTTCATCATTTACCCAACAGAAAATAATAACAATGTGACTTTTACTTTGTCTACAGACAGGAGTCTGCCTATGTTTTCCTGAGAGGTACCTATTTTGAGAAAATTTAGACATAATTTGTGAAAATTATTAAAAAATCAACACAGAAATATGGTAAAAACATGGATTTATCGTTTCTTATGAGACGAAAAAATAAAAATTTTAAGAAAAAGTATTTTGTGAAATTTCTTTAAGTTGAATTTGTGAAGGTATCGCTAAACGGTAGTAAATTTGGCTTTGGCAGACCCCTGACAGAGGACAAATTTATTTGGAACAACACAAAACCTTATTGAAAAAATTGCATGTGCAAGTCAAGTCTAAGAGCTGTGCACTTTAGCATTTGATTTTTTAAAATGTTCAATAATTCACCAGCAATTTTAATCTGGCTCTAGAAATTAATAAATCAGAATTTCCTAAAATTAACAAACATGTCAACCTATCAAGGCATTGAGCATAATTAGTATTCTTAAAACTGCAGAAAAATTTCAGAATTATTTGCAAATATTTTGAATTAAAGAATCAGATCATATTATACATACAGTTTTTTTTAAACTCATATTATTTTTTTTAAATGTCTCATTTCTACACATAAATCTCTATTACATTTAAATTTTATAAAATAAAAATGAGTCTTTTTTTTTTAATTTCAATTAAAAATACTTTAGAAAGAATGAGATACACGAAACATATATTAATAAATACTGGCAAAGTAAGAAAAGAAAAAAAGACCTTACCCAGAAGTGTACAGCTTTTTCATTTTACACAGAATTATTAAACTACTTCTGTACAAAAATGCCCAACACCATTATAAGATTTTACATGATAGGAATAGTTTTTTGTTATCTTTTAAAAAATTAGACCTTTTGGCAAATTTTCTGACTAAGCTTTTTAATTTCATATTTTTGCTATGAAAAAAATCTTTACCAATTTATTTTATCTGTACAACTTCAGCACACAGTTACACATCAACAGGGACCAAGATCAAAAAAATTTTTTGATACTCCAGCTCCCCTAACATTTTGGCATTTTTGATTATGCATAATTTTGAATTTTAATTTATAATTTTTATTATAAAAAGAAACATTAATTCTTATTAAAAAAAAAAAAACAGCATATTTTAATCACGAAAAGAAAATTTATCTAATATTATGATTAGTATGTCATATTTATTAGATACCGCATAACTCAATTCAAAACAAAATTGTATTAAAAACACTGCATATCTTAGATATATAAAATGCTAAGGTAATGGAAATGTTCTTGCTTTAGAAGTATCTGATTCTGATAACTTATCACTGAATTTGAAAAATCCAAATGATCAAATCAAACTAATTTTGTTGTTCTTAATAAAAATAGAAAATTAACAAAAATAAGTTACAAAAATGAAATTTCTACTAATATAGGAAAAACCAATGAAATAATTTTAACTCATATATACTTACACGCTCCTTCACAGCTGTAAAACTGAAAGATCACAAAAAACAGGCATGAAAATGCAAATGGAAATTTTCTTTGGTGAATCATGCTAAAAAATTTTCTCCTAGAAAAAATTAAGAATAAAAAAATGTTAGCTGGCAAAATATATAAAACTTTTTTTCAAGTACATAATGAAAACATATGACTGCATTTATTATTAATAATCGATTTAAAAAAAATCATTGATGAAGTAAATACACAGTATTATTAATTAAGTATACTATTATCAATAAAATATTATAGGCAAATGTATGCCTTCAACACCTTCTTTTGTACAAAACATTTATATATTGAATTGTTGCTGACAAATAAAAATATGAAGGTTCTAATAATCCATCAATGTTTATTTGCATCAAATTATTGTTTCTCCCAGTGGATAAATTGTTTCTCAATAGGGTTTAAAATTTAATTCATCAAATTAAACCCTCCTTCAGAGACAGATTCTGATAAGGTATTTTCATTTCATATTCTAGACATGCATGGGTAAAAAATGCCAACAATAATTCTCTCCTCTAATGATTTTTATTTCCTCTTTCTAAGTATTTGAAAATCCAATTCACACTGACATTTAGGCAACAAAAAAAAAATATTAGCAGTTTTAAATCAATAAAACTAATTTTTGTACATAAGTTCAATGAATAATATTAGAGTTTTAAAGCAGCTTGGTGTAATTTTTTTTGGGGGAAAAAAGTCACATTTTAGAACAGAAATTTAGTTTGAGCAATTTCCACAACTGTTCCAACATCACATATTTTGTCAATTAGTCTGAACAAGTTAAAAATGCTGTCCAATGGCAGCAGCACAGAGCATTCTGCAGCATTATTGACATTCAGAAATAGAAGAAAGAAAGAAAAGATGAAAGAAAAAAAAAGTAAAATGTTCAGTAAAAAAGTAAATAGTTGCATCTCTGGAAGATTTGATCAATAAAGCCCAGTCAAGACCGAATGCTTTCTTAAATCGCAGATACAAATATTAGCATAGACTTAAATATATGGAAGCATTAAAATATTATCACTTAATCCAAGTGAGGTTTTAGTTGTCATAGATTTTTCAGTAAACAGTATTTGTGAATATGCATCAGAGGTAAAGAGGGCTAAAGCTACTACCAAAATTGCACTCATAACATAATTGCCCAAGTTCTCAATAGTAACCTTCAACATGCATATTTTTCTTCCCATTATGAAGGCTTCACACATAGATGGGAAAAGCAGCTTTTCATCTTCATTTATTAAACTAGCGAGTAATAGCTACAGAATTTCTTATAATTACACATTAATATTTAATAAGCAATACTCATGTAGTTTTCTTACAATTAAATAAAAAGATTTTCTCTTGCTTAAAATGAGCAAGTATCTAGTATAACATGACTGAAAAGATTAGTTTAAAAAAAAAAAAAGATTAAACATGAGATATTTTTTTTAAACGATTAATCAAGCTTTTTCATACTATAGCCAATGTTTCTGATTTTAAATATAAGCTGTTTTGTTTATATATTAAACAAAACTTTTAACAAATATTGCACAGTCAATTTTACAAACTTGGATTTTGAATAACTGCTCATAATATAAAAAAATATCATTGTCAAAACTCTTTTTGGAAAAATAAAAAGTCAGTAATTGCTGTAAGTTTTTTTTTCTATAAAAAAAGAAAGCTAAAATTGTATAATTTTAATCTATCATCATTACCAGAATTGAAACAAGCGAAATTCCTTAGAAAAATTAATAGAAAAAAAGGAATCTACATTTGGTAAGAAAGAAGAAAAAATTATATTTTCTTACTTAAATTTAAGATTTTTTTTATTTTAATGTAAAATATGCTCAACGCATTCATATATTTTTGTTAGTTTGAATTAGATTCAGTTTAAAATTTTAACTTCATATTTTCTTCAAATTCCCCAACAACTAAACAAAACTCAAAATTTTTTTATCAATTAAATACTTCACTACGCATTGCGAAGAAAAAAAAAAAACTCACTAAGAACAATTTGTCATAAACTCAAATCGTCAATATATCACTTTTGAATTCAATTGATGACACACAAGATTAAAACAAATGATATCGATAAAACACAGCTTCTTTATTTTAAGATAAAGTTATAAATACATAGGAGTTCATTAAAATTATAACTAATTTAACATTTGATCCAAAAGAAGCACTTACTTGAAATATGCGTTTGGTTATTTGCTTTATGAGCTAAATATATCACCTAATTGCAGACAAAGCAAACATAGTAAATTGTCAACAATATAAAGCATGGGAAGCTATCGATTTGAAGTAAATGCAAAATAAACATAAACTGATAGAAAACAATTTTAAGTTACGTCTTATAGCATCAAAATCATTACATTATTTAGAACTACTTAAAATTTAATAAAGAACTAAAGATTTATGTACAAATATAACGTTTCATTGCGGTTACAGCTTCGAACTTATTTAGGTATGAAGGGAAAATCTCGTTAGAAACGGTTCCGCCTGCCTACGTTTACAGCATTGTGGCTCCAAAAAGCAATAATCTATGGTTTTGATTTAAATAAAAATTTCAACAACAGAGAGCGCTGAACTTTTTTCTTAACAAAATCTCCAGTTATTAGCAATCGAAATGGTCTGTAGGTGGCGTAGAGCAGAACTCTCTACATATGGCAATCCTTCACACGCTTTCACTATTAGTGTGCGGAGAATCATAAAAGGAGGAAGTACGTTAGTTTCTGTCTTGATTTTCAAATAGATTAAAACGATTTAAGTTAGGAAACTATATGGAACTGAAAACTACATTAAACATAGTTCTAAAAGAAAAGGTTATAAAAATTTAAAAAAAAAAGTATTTTTAGCAATTAAATACGTAAAATATTGTAGGAAATAGATTGTAATAAAGGAAAAATATCGTAGTACATTTCTATACAACTGAAAAGAGGAGGAGAGGGAAGAGCCAAAGGCATCGAACCGATCTTCTTTTCAGATGGCGTATTCGAGAGTTGCGATCGCCTGTTAAAAGCACACCAGACTCCCTCATTTAGCAATTTTCTTCTAAGCGGTTGTGAATCTTGTCTTCACAGAGTGAAAAAGTAGATGAGGGAAAAGTTCTTCCTTAGAAAGGAAGAATAAGAAACGAAAAGAAAAGAAACATAAAGCGAAATTTTGAGTTGAAAGTTGCAAAGTTTTCTTTTTGTGGTTCCAGGATTTCAAGGTCCCGCAGTGGACTGATCGTTAAGACACGGTTCTCAGCAGATCACCGAAGTCAAGCATCACTGACTGCCGTCAGAGACATTAACAATTGCNGGTCCTCGTTAAACTGTGCTACCGTAAAGTGCTCGACTTCGCGCGCAGGTTGTCGGGCTACCGAAGCAGGGGTGCCATCCCCTCCGCAGAGGATCAGAATTGTAATGGCATGTCTTCGGATCATCATCCGGGATGTTTCCCAGACCGTCGCCAATAGCCCATTGTGCAGCTCTAGTGCGACGTAAATTAACAACAACAACCAGGATTTCAAGTTTAGAAAAACTGAATTAATCCTTTTATTGAATAATAATTTTTGGTTTTGCGTGGACGGAAAAGTATTTCGTTTTGTTTTTTATCTGCTCTGAATTATAATATAGTTTATTGCTTTTCAATCTCGACAAGTAAGTCGTTTTCAACTTTACTACGTTTTCAACTTTACTTTACAACTTTACGTTACAACTTTACTTTACTTTGTTACAGGGACAGATGGCTCATTAAAAGGCCTGAACCATAAGGGTTTGAAAATTAAACATGGATGATCTAATGCCCAACTCCTATTCTCCGGAAATACCAATTGAAGAAAAATTTAAATTCGTTACGGAAAATGAGATTCGAAGTTACACTATTTTTGGTGAACCAACAAGTTAAAAAACCAGCATACATAGAAATACAGAAATACTAAATTAATTATATTAATTCTACTACCATCCATTTTCCACTCTCGTATTCCAAAGTATATTTTATCTCTAGTTGATTTTTTCGGAATAAATATTTCAAATTTAATTAATAAATAATAATACTTGAGTACCTAAGCTTTTATTTATATTTTTTTCTGTTTTTTATACAATGAGTTTTTTTTAAAATAAATTTTAAATCATTAATTATTTCCAAGTATTTATTTTCAATTTTAAATGCATTTCTAATTGTTTTTTTCTTTTTTGAGAAAAGAACCATGTTAAACAAACGGGCCAATTTTATTAACTCTAATCATCTATGACTTTACTCCAGCCATTTGCAATTTCCTAATAATCATACATTATTCATATTTTAAAATTATATAATAATAACCACGCTGTATAATTATAAAATAATATTTACATTTTAAATGAATGGAAATCTTAACTTCAAATTTTTTCTCTCCGCGAAATCACAAATCAAAATTGCTTAATTTTTAAATTGTCATTTTTTTTGTAATAATTTACACAATAAAGGACATAATTTAAATTTATTCAAATTACTTACCTCAGCAATTATTTTCTTCCACTTCTTTGTTCACTGAAATTAAATGGAGAAACTTACGTAACTTTATTCTTTTCGTATCTGAAATTTTATTTAACAAAACACAAACGCAGAGTAAAATTTTTCCCAAGGAGTGAAACCAGTAATATTATGAATATGTCAATCTAATATTATGAAATTGTCAGTAATTTTTTATAATGTAAAAATAACTTTATATGGGCACATTAGAAATGTTCAACAATTCAATAATTATTTAAATGTGTTATGCACTAAACCAACAATCTTGGCAAAAAATTTATATAGCATTTTAATTTCAAAATAAAAAAATTTAGTAAATATTATGTTTTATCTAAATTAAATTTTCACAGACATAGAATTGCATCCGAGAATGAGACGAAAAAATATAACATATTATTCCTAAAACAATGCGTTATCAACGACTACTATATTTTATTAACCAACAGCCGATCAATCCTTCTGTGTCTATTCAAAGGTACTCAAAAATCTCCGAGAATCTCTTTTTTTTCTTCTTCTTGATCAGATTGCTAAATGAAGTCTAGATGATTTTGATTTCATCAAGAGAAACCATTAGTGTACAATATTTTTCGACATTCTACAACTAATCTAAAATTAAATTTAGGATTCTGAATTCTTTACAGGTGTTTAAAATAAGCGCAAACATTGTTTAAATGCAAACACTTTTTTGAAACAATGCAAAACTTTTTTAATATAATTTTCCATAAATCTAAAAATTGAAGAAAAAAAAAAGATACTATGAAGTCTTTGCGAACGAAAAAAGTTATAAAAATCATGCTAAGGACTTGAAGCAACTTTTATTATACAGACAAATATGCTCTTTTTAAGACAACACTCTCTCAAAAAATAGAAAAATGAAAAATATTTTTTAATTAAAAAAAAAAACTTAGATTTTTTAACTTTCGCATTTTTTAATTTTTTATTTTCACATGAAAAATTCTCTATAAAATATTTATCAGTATTAAAGTGCCAGTATGAATTTAAGTAACATGTTATTGGCGATCGCAACGCTCGAATACGCCATCTGGGGAGAGACCGGTTAATTTTGTTTTCAATAAAAGAAATAAATTAGATAATTTCTAAGCTCAAATCTGCCGTATTTTATAAAATATTAATGTTATTATGCAATTCCGGTGAGTTTGAAGTAAAAATTTGTTTTAGTTATTTATAGATATATGGATGGTATTTTCTACACTAGGAACCGCTGCAAGCTTGGGACTGCCTAAATTTCCGGGTTACTGTTTCAGTTGTATTTTAAAGGCATTTGGCATCATTGTGTTTTGAGATTCTTGCAAACAATGTATTTGATTACTTATGTTTACAATGCTAACAATACTTGTGTTTACAATACTAAAAGTGTTAACACCAACGTAAGATGGTGCACAGCTTGCAACACGAACAAACAGTAATAAACAAATGGAAAGAGGCCAAATCAAGACTGCCAAAAAAGCGAGATATTCAAAATCTAGCAACCATGTCACCTTTTTTAATAATAAATTATAAAATAACTAAAACAAATTTTCACTCCAAACTCCCCGGAATTACATAATAACATTAATATCTTATGAAATACGGCAGATTTGAGCTCAGAAATTATCTAATTTATATTTTTTATTGAAAACAAAATTATCCGTTTGAAAACATCGCCTGTCAGAATAACATGTAGTAAGCAGCTGCAAACTTTTTAACCGGAACTAGAGTAGGTGCCGAGCTTGAGATTGTTATTGTTTACATTCCTATTGAAAACACCATCCATTGTTAAAAAAGGTGGCATGGTTGCTAGATTTTGAATAACTCGCTTTTTTGGCAGTCCTCATTTGGCCTCTTTACCAGGGCTCGAAAAAAGTCAGAAATTTTACCCGTTCCCGAGGACCCTTGTCCAACAATGTACCCGTCCTCCTTAACCTGTAGTCTCTAAATAAATAAAAATATAATTTTCTCTTATTTATTACGAACATTTATATAAATTGCACAATGAGTTAGTAGTTACTAGGATTACAAATACTAAGATTACATTATACAGTAATAAAAGAAATACTAGGTTACTAATAGTAACCTAGTACTTCTTATATGAGATAATTTATTTCTTTTATGAAATAATTTAAATGACAAAGGTCAAGTTATCTGGAATGTCAATTTATCCGAGGGTACTGCGTATTTTAATTCAATCAAATATGACGTTTGCCAGTTCCACAATCAAGCCAATGATTTACAGAGGTTTCTGCACAAAAATCTGACAGGGGTTTTCCATTTAGGTAGATGTTCATAATTGCAATTAACGCTTCTTGTTTAAGGCCAGTACGTAATGTGTTTTTATGTAAGATCATTGCTGAAAAGCCCCTTTCAACCGCTGCAGTACTCCCAGACAGAGAAAACATTCCACCATGCGCAGTATGTTGCTGTATTTCTAGATTAGAGGGTCATTTTAGAGGTGAGGCGATAGACTCTTGTAAGATAACAAAAATTGAAAATGTATCACGGACATTAATGGGAAAATGGCCGTCTGAGCGGACGTCGGATTCGAGAAATTCGTTGTCCGTGGGGAATTTTTGACTGCCGAGGACGGGTGGTTTTTCGAGCCCTGCTCTTTCCATTTGTTTATTATTGTTTGTTCTTGTTGCAAGCAGTGCACCATCTTACGTTAGTGTTAGCACCTTTAGCATTGCAAGCACAAGTATTGTTAGCATTATAAACACAAGTAATAAGTAGTCAAATACCACGTTTGCAAGAATCTCAAAACACAATGATCACGTTGTGAGCCAAATGGCTTTAAAATACACCGGAGGCAGTAACCCGGAAGTACAGGCGGTATGGAGCATGGAGCTTGCAGCTTTCCTTGGTGTAGAAAACACCATCCATAGGAATGTACTACGAAATTTTACCTTTTCTTAATATTTTTCCTTTTTATTTAATAAAAATATTTTTTAAAATTTCCGTGATGCTTTTCTTTAGAGCTATGTTTAATGTTGTTCTCAGTTCCACATAGTTTTCAAAATT